TCTATTCTAGGAAGAGTTGTCTTTGTTATATTTTCATAAATATATGTGGTTTGGGGAGGAGATTGCTGCTGCTCTACTCATGCCGCCATCTTGGCTCCGCCTCTTTTATTTTGTTTCAATTGTCTACTTACTTGGTAATTAGTTTGTCTGCTACCTTTACTATGGGTTTATTTTCACTGGTGAAAGCTATTTAGCTTTAGGGTCATTTCCATCTACAGGTGGACAGAGTAGATATTTTGACCAGGTTTTAGATTCCAATGTCCACATTCTTAACTCTTAAGTGCATCCAGAAGAATAGCAGATATCTTAAAAAAGCAATCTACAGATTCAATGCAATCCTATCAAAACACCAACAGCATTCTTCAATGAACTAGAGAAAATCGTTCTAAAATTCATATGGAACCATAAAAGACCCCAAATAGCCAAAGCAATCCTGAGAAGGAAGAATAAAGCCAGGAGGATTATGCACCCTGACTTCAAGCTCTACTACAAAGCCACAGTAATCAAGACAACTTGCTATTGGTACAAGAACAGACCCATAGACCAATGGAACAGACTAGAAAGCTGAGATATTAACCCAAACATATATGGTCAATTAATATATGATAAAGGAGCCATGGATATACAATGGGCAAATGACAGCCTCTTCAACAGCTGGCTGGTGTTGGCAAAACTGGACAGCTACATGCAAGAGAATGAAACTGGATTACTGTCTAACCCCATACACAAAAGTAAACTCAAAATGGATCAAAGACCTGAATGTAAGTCATGAAACCATAAAACACTTAGAAGAAAACATAAGCAAAAATCTCTTGGACATAAACTTGTGCAACTTTTTCCTGAACACATCTCCTCAAGCAAGGGAAACAAAAGCAAAAATGAACAAATCAGACTACATCATACTAAAAAGCTTCTGTACAGCAAAGGACACTATCAGCAGAACAAAAAGGCATCCTACAGTATTGGAGAATATATTTGTAAATGATGTATCAGACAAGGGGTTAACATCCAAAATATATAAATAACTCACATGCCTGAACACCCAAAAAGCAAATAACCCGATTAAAAAATGGGCAGAGGATGTGAACAGACACTTCTCCAAAGAAGAAATTCAGATGGCCAACAGGCACATGAAAAGATGCTCCATATCGCTAATCACCAGGGAAACGCAAATTAAAACCACAATGAGATATCACCTCATACCATTTAGGATAGCCAACACAGAAAGAGTAGGAACAAATGCTGGTGAGGATGCAGAGAAAGGGGAACCCTCCTACACTGCCGGTGGGAATGTGAAATAGTTCAACCATTGTGGAAAGCAGTATGGAGGTTCCTCAAAAATCTAAAAATAGAAATACCATTTGACCCAGGAATTCCACTCCTAGGAATTTACCCTAAGAATGCAACAGCCCAGATTCAAAAAGACATAAGCATCTCTATGTTTACTGCAGCATTATTTACAATAGCCAAGAAATGGAAGCAACCTAAATGTCCATCAGTAGATGGATGGATAAAGAAGAGGTGGTACATATACACAATGGAGTATTATTCAATCATAAGAAGAAAACAAATCCTACCATTTGCAAGAACGTGGATGGAGTTAAAGGGTATTATGCTCAGTGAAATAATCCAGGCGGAGAAAGACAAGTACCAAATGATTTCACTCATCTGTGGAGCATAAGAACAAAGCAAAACCTGAAGGAACAAAACAGGCATGTACCACAACCATAATTAGTAATTAGTCTGTAATACTCTACTTTCTGTCTATCTCCCTTGCTATACTTAGAAGCAATTTGAAAACAGGGTCTGTGTCTATTTTGGCCATAAGTGTATTCCTGACACCTAGCACATTGCTGGTACAGAGTAGGTGTTAAGTAATACATGTTAAATGAAGGAATGAATGGCACACATCAATAAGCACTAGCCTTGGGAGTGACATGAAATTAGCTTTGCCCTGACTAGTTCTGTGCCTCTGAATAAATTTCTTACCATCTCTGAGCCCACTTTTCCCTCTAAAAATGATAATAATTGTTCCTACTTTACAGGGTTATTTTAAGAATTGAATAATTCCATATAATGCTTAGCACAGTGCCTGGCACATAACTAGCCCTCAATTAACATTAACTATTATTATTCTTAAAGAATGGAGAAAAAAGAGGAGGGTGTATGGTACGGAAGGCACATTATCATGTTCTTGACTAGGGCACAAACATAGCTCTATTTATGCAAACAGATAGTAGCAATCTGAATAAAACAAATATTTTAAGTATACTATGGAATATGTTAGCTATAAAAGCCCTGAGAGAGATTGTGGATAAAACTAAAGTTCCTGGGGCCAGGATTCTCACCTGGCCCTGGTTGGCTAGCTCACTACACAAGTGTGGGTAATACATTGCTATTAACTCTATATAAAAGAGCTCTGCCCAGTGCTCTGGACAACATGGTGGCAGGGCTGCAAGGCTGCAGGAGAGCAGAGCAGAGGCTGGACTGATGGCAGCACCAAGCACAGAGGCCCAGAGGACGGCTGTGCAGACAGAGGGGCCCAGAGGCAGAGACTGGCTTGCTGCGTGCAGACTCGCTCTGAGTGGATGGGATTTTAGTGATTGACCTGCCACCATGGAAATAAAGTTGGGTATAACGCTTTCACCCGAAGAACATTCTCCTGTCATTTCTTTGGTCACATTGAATCCATAGAGGGAACTTGCCGGGGGCTGAAACCCATTGGCAAGACAGAGATCCATTTATAAAACCAAGAAATCTTTTTAAATGTGACGTGATCAAGCATTTACATGGCTTGCATAACACTGACTCTTGTATATAGTCTTGGGTTCTTTCAAAGCAAAGCACATCAGAAATCCATTACATCAGGGCAGCAGGATTCAAAACCTGGGCTTCAAAACCTAGAGGATTCAGTCCAGCTGTGCTGACCTTGGCCTAGAACAGGCAGATAAAACAGGCTTTTGCCTTTAAGCCCACAACTTCCCTTGCCTCCCAGTAGGAAATTTCACGCTTTAATGAGAAAATGTCCCTCACTCTAGTGTTCTCCAGCATCCCAGGGTCACCCTGAACCCCCTTTCTGGTGCATTCGACATTACCCAATACACCCCCTTTTACTTGTTTTTCTCCACTCTTAGATTTTCCAACTTTGGACACATCATTTAATTTCCCCAAGTCTCAAAATCTGTAAAAATGGAACTAAAATAGTACTTCCCTCTTAGCTAAACGTAACAGTATATACCTTACATTTTCACATGGTAATTGATGTTTTAGTGTTTCTACCAGATCCCTAATCAACCCACAACCCAGAAAAAAATTTCAACAAAGATTCTTTCCAGTAGTGTAATTTTTGTCCAGAGTCTATGTTTTCTACAATAAAAGAAACTACCACCGAGCCCATTAGCCAATGTACTGGAATAAAACATATGATCCCAAAGAAGCTTCAAATGTCATGCAGGAAAATAATTCAACAAATTAGGTGGTCCTGTTTTCTAAAAAAGACTAATTCTGCAAAATACAATTTACATATATCCTTTTTAAAAATATGTTCCTTCAAAGTAAGCCCTGTCAAACTACATAAACTTCAGTAACTGTCAATCTGGAAGCCTCACCACATTGCTTTTGGGGACTGCAGAATGCCATCCTAGGGAATCCCAGCAAGGTCCTCAGCCTTACTGGTCACCCCTGGCCAAGGCCGCGTCATGAAGGCCTACCCCTTCCTCCCATCTCCATTCCCTCCCATCATAAACCACAAGAAAAATAAAACCATCATCTTAGGAAAAAGTTGGGGGACCTTTATAAGTTGGTAAGCATGGCAAGGCTCCAGATGACTTTTTAAATACAACTTCTAAACAAGGACCTCTTCAAAGGCAACCCTTGTACTAGAATGAGTAGCAGAGGTCTAGTTCTAAAAACCTGCCTCCCCTACTTATTCGCTGTGGGCAATCTCAGTGGCTGAAAACACAGTGATACACTCACTGTACTCTCGTGGTGGGGGCGGGGAGAGAGATAGCTACAGCAGCCATTCTGGTGGGTGCTTGAAAAAGTTGGCTCCCCTCCCTATCCTTCTGAAAAAGTATATTATTTTTGCTAATTCTATCTCTGTATCTTTTTTTTACCTGCCACTTTTCTAAAAAATTACTTCCTCTTTGTTTTCCCCCATACACACTGCAAGAGGCCAAAAGCTCTTCCTGGCAATTCCATTAAGAGGATCAAGTATTATGCTGACTAAACATGTAAGTTTATGAAGACCAGAAGTTACTTCAAAAGTAACTTCTCAACTCTCAAATACCAAAGGGAACTGAAAAGGTACCATTTGTTGAGTACCTCCCAGGCGCCATGTCATTTATGCAACACAACAATCTCCTGCGTGGGCCTATTACTCCCAAAGTTACAGCTGAGGACGCAGGCGCTAAGAGTTTAAGGCCCACAGTCGCACCCCCAGGACGCGCGGCAGCGCGAGGCCGGGATGATCAGTTATCTACGGCAGCCACTCCCGGGGATGCCCCCCAGTCAGTATTCCCCCACCTTCTGAGAAACGGGCTCTGCCCTGCTAGTCATCCTACCCCTCTAACAGGCTAAGGAACCACCGTCTCCTGTGCCTGAGCCGCGGTCACGCCACCCGCCCACGCGGCGGGGCCCCTGCGAGTGGCGCACAGCGGGAGGTGACCAGGCCCCAGACGACAGCACTCACGCCGCCCTCTGCGAGGGGTGGGCGGGCCGGGCGCCTCGCTAAACCCATTGCCAGCCGCGCAAACCGAGACTCAGACTTCGGCGGAGGCGCGGGCTGCCCAATGACAAAACGCCAGAACCGGGCCTCCAGTTTAGGTGCCGGAGCCTTCCTCCTTCAGAGCTGGGGGCCGCGGCCTCCGCTTGGCCCCCACACCGGGTCCGCTCCCCTCACCCCGGCGGAGGAGGCTCCGGACGCGGGACATGCTCGCAAGACCCCACTCTGAGGGGGACCTACGCCCCCCGCCAGTGAGCTCCTTCTTCCCCGGCCCTACCTGGTTGCCGCGGCGACCATGGCCAATCAGCTTCTTTCTCCCGCCTCGGAAGTGACGTACTCCGCTAACGCAGCCCGTGCGGTTCTGTCAACCTCAGCCTTTAGGCTGCGCATGCGTGCCGGATGTCCATCCCTCCGGGAGAAAGTAAGATGGCCAAGGCCTGGAGGTCTGAATGGAGGCAAGCGCCTCCCTCCATCCTCCCGCGGGAAATTCGGAAGGTCGTAGTTTGGGTTCCGTACACTCTGGGTGGCGGAGCTGGGGAGACGGAGAGAGTGAAGTCAGGGGATGTATGCTACAGTGATCAAGACTTATGAAGAGTTATAGTTTTAAAATTGTTATGTTGGCAGAGATTTAAAAATCAGTAGGAAAGAAGAGTGAGACCAGAAACAGACGCAGAAGTATGTAGTCACATTTTTTTCCACGAAGGAGCTACTATAATAGGAAAGTTCTTTTCAGTAAATAGGGCTAGATCAATTCAGTGTCGATGGGGCATAATAAACCTTGTTCTCTAGTACATAACAAAAATTCAATTCAAGATGGGTTGTAAACCTAATGTGAAAGATACAACTCTAGAAAATAACGGCAGGATACCGTGACAATTTGTTAGGCAGAAGAATAGATACGAGTGGGGTGGAGAGAGAATAAGGCCAGTAGAGCCCACTAAAAGGGACTCAAAGAGTTAACCGGTTAAAACCGCAGAGCCAGAAAAGACAGAGTTAATGAGTTAATCAGATGAAACTCCAAAGGCCAGAAGTAACATGAAATGTCCAAATATTCCCCAGATGAAGAAAAGTATCCAAGCACAGCCCATGTCTTCATGTGTCAATTAGATCATGCCATTGTAAAATTTATTTTAGCCTGCTAAAAGGCCTAGCTTATTCTTTAACTTAACCTATATGCTGTTTTTTTCCTCCTCCAGCTGCTAATCAAGTAATTTGCAACCTGGACAGGAGACAAGCATAATGATTAATTTAGCAAATAAGTCCAGATATAAACAACATAGTAAATACAGGAAAGATTCCATCTTAGAGCTATGATTGCATTTTAAAACTAAGGAAGTTAAGAAGTAAGATTCTTAACATATTCTTCAGCAAACAGACAATAACTCAGCCCACCTTGGGGGCAAGGCAGGCAGTCTTGATTGATATGTTCCCAGAGGGAAGCTGCTATTCTGGAGAGGAACCAGATCAGTAAATTTCTTGTATTAATCTTGCAGAATTACCTGGAGAATAGAATAAAATAATAGAAGAGAAGAGAGGTAACTTCTCTCACCAAAGATAAACAAATGCCTGGAGACCACTTGACAAGTCTAGACCCCCTAGCGCTTTATCACATTCCTGAAAAATCCCTAAAAGTGGGAACCCCCAACCTTGTAGTGCACCTCTTCTCTGAAGTTGCCCACACTCACCTTTCTCCGAATGTGCACCTTTTTGCCTTAAATAAACTTCTCACTGCTCAACTTAGAATGTTTTGTCTCTGCACTTTCCCAGTGGTAAGTGTCTTTGTTACTTTGCTATTTCATTCTAAGCCAAGGAAGGAACTGCAGTTTATGGTCATGCTCTTTAGTAACCTTCCTGAAAGTCTCCTTTTTTTGCCTCTAGGAGGTTTTCAGAACATAATCTCACTCTGGGGTGGTAGGGACTCAGTTCCCATGCCATGCGGATCCAAGCAGACACTGGACACCAGGTGACATGGCTTAAGGAATTAGCACTGGATATGCCCCATGCTGAGCAGCAGTTCAATGAACTTCCTTTTTCACTTTGTTCTGTCACTCCCTGACACTCTCTCTTAAATGAATTACTTCCTAACCTTGTACTCTGACTTCCCTGTGTCTCCTAACCAAATTTCTCCCAATAACTTTAAATAAAACTTTTCAACCTTTCAGGCCTCCTCCCACACTTTCTTTCTGAGTGGGTAACTTTAAATAAAACTTTTACTCTGTGTCTCTGCCTTTCAATTCTTTGTTGTGTCAGGGACAAGAGCGTAGGAAAATAAACAACTGCCCCCCTAACATACTGGATAGGAAAGTACTTCTTACCAAGACACAGAAAATACCAACACTAAAGAGAAAGGCTGATAAATCAGATGTTATTCATTTAAGACATAGAAAGACACAATGGTGTAAAAGGCAAGCAACAGAGCAGAAAACATATTTGGAATATATATATCTCAAAATGACTTATTGTAAGCAATTCTTGCAATGGATTTTTTAAGAAGACCTGAAGTGGTAGAGGAGGAAGTGTGGAAAGGATGTGAGAGAAACTTGGAATTCTCATAGTTCAAATTCAGAGATGGCAAAAATGTGTAAGTTGAAAAAATCTATTCTCCAGGCACTCATTTCTCTCCCACTGGGTAACAATGCTGTTAGCTATGTGTCTTTCCAGAGCTATTTTAAGCATAATCAAGCAATTATATATACATTCAGCATTCTCTCCACCATCCCTTGTTATACAAACAACATACTGTAACACTGCTCCGTACATTGCTTTTATTCACTTTATTCAATTAACATACCATGGAAATCCCGACCAGTATGCACAAAACCTGGAAACATAGGGAAAAAGTTATTTTGAGCTAAATATAGCTACCTTTTCAAATATGTTCCATATGTTTTCCTTTCCCATTTTCTCAGAAGTTTGTTTACCCTCCTGGCCCTTCTCCATTGTTCTGGAAACTGGACTGTAGCTTGCCAGTTCACAAAGTGTGAATATACCAGTAACAAATCCAGTGTGATCCTGAGTGCTCACTGCAAGACTGAGTCAGTTTCCTAGAGTTAATTTTCCAGGGCTATCAGCCATCCTGTTAGCCAACCCACACTTCAGTCTTGCTTAGAGTCATTCCGGAAGCAGGACAATAAATTCCAATTATTTTATAGCCAGTTTGAGTTGGATCTTCTGTCAATTGCCAGTGTAAGAACTCTAATTCCCCAACCAGGATATTATACAAATAGACCCCACTGATTAGTTAGTACAGTACCATGGCCTTCAGTAAAAATGGCATGGGGGACTTCCATTTCCAGGAAAATGGAAGGAAATAGGAATAAGAAATTCTTCTTAATTATTGTCAGGTGTGGGTGGAAATCCAGATTTTTCCACTTGGCCTTCATTGTCACTTGGAGGGATTCCTTATTACTCCTGGGTGCAAGTGGGGGGTTCACACTCCCCAGTAGGCCTCCACTGATAGCACCCTGGCTGGGAGGGATTTCTTTGGGTTTCTGTAGGCTTCTTGCTAGGTACAACTAAACCTTCTGGACAATAAATGTAAAACAAGCATAAGAAGACTGAAATGTGGAGAAAAGGCAGACTGACTAGGGACTTAAGGACCCAAGGAACAATACAGAGGTGAGTTCCCTGGGTTTCCTTTTTGCTTCATTACCTGGAGGAGTAGGCAACCTGGAAAGGCTAAGAGGTATAAACAAAGCCCACAAAAAAAGCCTGCTCTCTCCAAACAGAGGACAAGGAAAAGGGAAGCCTTGGAAGACAGAAACTTAGACAATAATGACTACACCAACCAAAACCACAACAAAACAAAACAAAAACTCCACACCTACCCCTGCCAGCAAAGGCTGCGTAGAAGGCTTAGATCTCCTTCCAAGGTAAGCTGTAAAGCAGTGCCACCACCCACTTTTCCCTCTGCTGATACGGTGTCAGAGGAGGCCAAGTGGAGAGCTGGGGCTTTCATGCCCATTGGGCACTAAGGAGGGGTCAGCGGAAACCATGTGGGGAACATGGACATCCACTCCTACGTGGAGTACAGAGGCACTCCTCTCCCTCCTCTCCAGGGTGGTGTCAGAGGGGACTAAGTGGGGAGTCAGGACCCTCACCACTGCTCAGTGGCCACAAGGCCACCCCCCACCCCACATGTCAACAGAAACCACAGAGGAAGCATTAAATAGGCACTCCACCCCCTCCCAGCCAGGGTACTATCAGTGGAGGCCTACTGGGGAGTGTGAACCCCCCACTTGCACCCAGGAGTAATAAGGAATCCCTCCAAGTGACAATGAAGGCCAAGTGGAAAAATCTGGATTTCCACCCACACCTGACAATAATAAAGAAGAATCTCCATTCCCCTGCCAAAACAGTGTGAGAGAAAGCCTAACCAAATCCATGATTTAAATCAGATCCAGAATCTTATGATACTCCAAAATCTAGGTTTTCATAAAAACACACTTATCACAGCAAAATCTTTTTTTTACCTGCCACTTTTCTAAAAAATTACTTCCTCTTTGTTTTCCCCCATACACACTGCAAGAGGCCAAAAGCTCTTCCTGGCAATTCCATTAAGAGGATCAAGTATTATGCTGACTAAACATGTAAGTTTATGAAGACCAGAAGTTACTTCAAAAGTAACTTCTCAACTCTCAAATACCAAAGGGAACTGAAAAGGTACCATTTGTTGAGTACCTCCCAGGCGCCATGTCATTTATGCAACACAACAATCTCCTGCGTGGGCCTATTACTCCCAAAGTTACAGCTGAGGACGCAGGCGCTAAGAGTTTAAGGCCCACAGTCGCACCCCCAGGACGCGCGGCAGCGCGAGGCCGGGATGATCAGTTATCTACGGCAGCCACTCCCGGGGATGCCCCCCAGTCAGTATTCCCCCACCTTCTGAGAAACGGGCTCTGCCCTGCTAGTCATCCTACCCCTCTAACAGGCTAAGGAACCACCGTCTCCTGTGCCTGAGCCGCGGTCACGCCACCCGCCCACGCGGCGGGGCCCCTGCGAGTGGCGCACAGCGGGAGGTGACCAGGCCCCAGACGACAGCACTCACGCCGCCCTCTGCGAGGGGTGGGCGGGCCGGGCGCCTCGCTAAACCCATTGCCAGCCGCGCAAACCGAGACTCAGACTTCGGCGGAGGCGCGGGCTGCCCAATGACAAAACGCCAGAACCGGGCCTCCAGTTTAGGTGCCGGAGCCTTCCTCCTTCAGAGCTGGGGGCCGCGGCCTCCGCTTGGCCCCCACACCGGGTCCGCTCCCCTCACCCCGGCGGAGGAGGCTCCGGACGCGGGACATGCTCGCAAGACCCCACTCTGAGGGGGACCTACGCCCCCCGCCAGTG